TGATTTTTTTCAGTGTTCTTTATACGGAAAACATTTTATATTTTACGTTTTTTACTTTTTTTGATACGTTTTTACGTGATTACGTTTTTATACGTTTGATAATTTTAAAATATTACGTCCGTGGGGCGATAATAATTATGTAGCTGAAGAGACAATGGAACTCTCTAATCGATTGGAAGATTTACAAAGGCGTGTAGTAAAACGTAAGCGACATTTTCAATACCTTTCTGATGATGCCAAACGTATGCTAAAAAATGTTTATGAAGGACTGTGTGCTGAATTGTCTAAATCAGAGGCAATTGCAGAAACATGTTTTTTAACCAGAGTGCCCAAAGCAACCTGCTACAAAATTATTATATACAGAAAAGAAAGAATTGTGGCAAATTCAGAAAAATAAAACCCCACTTAATTGAATCTATAACGAGAACAATATACCAAATGTATGCGGCTAATATTTTTCCAACTATTGAAAGCCTTCGAAGTGAATTAGTTTGAAAGTGCATTCTCTCGTGTTCAGCAACAACACTTCGATTATTTCTTAAAGCCAATAATTTTAAGTACAAAACTATAGACAAGAGACAGACATTAATGGAAAGTACTAGAATAATTTCTTTAAGAAACAATTATATCAGACAGATAACTGAGTATCGAAAAATGAAACGAAATATTGTTTATTTAGATGAGACCTGGTATGATACTCATGACACCGTGAAAAAAAAGTTGGACAAATAATAACAAAAAGTGTTTCAACTCAGTACCGCCCAATAAAAGAAAGAGGATTATAATTTTACACTGCGGTGGAGAAAATGGATGGGTCGACGATGCATTATTAATATCTGCAAAACAAATTAAAAACGCATCATGACGATATAAAAAGTTCAATTTTTGAATCATGGTTTGAAAAAATCTTCTTCCGAAATTACTTAAAGATAGTGTGATTATCATGGACAACGCATCATATCATTCAAGATTAATGAAAAAAACTTCAAATAATAGTTGGAACAAATTAACAATTCAGGAATTTGTATTTTGAGACATCTTATATTAAAAAGCAATTGTTGGAGGGTGTTCATAGTAAACAGTACGAAAAGGAATATGTTGTTGACAACTGTGCTCGTAGTAACGGGCATACCTACTGTGTTTAGACTTCCTCCTTATTATTGTACATTGAACCCAATAGAGTTAATATGGGCTCAACTTTAAGGAAATATAATGAGAAGAAACGTTGGTCCAAAATTTTTTGTCTACTGTTCTCCAGTTAATTAGAAGAGAAGTCACAAAAATTACAGCAACCAACTGGAAAAATGTAATAAAAATAAAACATGTGATCGGAGTGGAAAATGACTATATTAAATATTTACCAGCATTAACCAAATTACCTATAAATTTAGATGATACGAGTGATACTAGTGATAACAGTGATTCTGAGTGGATAGTAAGTACTTATTAGGTGTTAGTTGAAATCTTTATTTCTATTTTAATTGTAGATATTCTCATTTTGCTTATATATATTTGAAAACAGGGTATAAACACACTTCTTGCCAGGACAAAAATTATTAATGTTTTAGGGGAGGATGTAACTGAAACTGTCATTGTCATTCTCGCTAAATAACTACTATTATTAACAATGTTTTATATAGATATTATTATTTTACAATAAGTTCTGTTCAGTCGAGTCGATTAGTATTATCACTCCCAAGATATATCGCAGAAGTTAAAAACACCGATATTTTTTTATTTAAACTTTATAGAAAATGAAACTTTTTGGTAAATAAAATTAAATAAAAGTAAAAACTTTTATTTAATTTAAAATTAGATATCTACGCTACTGTTCTACTACTATGCATTACAATACCTAAGGTAGTGGTAACTCCATCGAGCAATAAGACAAAAGAGGGAATCTATTCGTTATGAAAAGGAGACCAAAAAAGTGGCCTCTGATGGCGGGCATATCCGGAAATGCAAAGGCGCTAAATTTAAATTTTCCAACACTTATTAACAATACCTGTAAAATATTTTTCAGACAAGAAAGTTTTAATTAAATATTAACGATATTAGTCTAAAAAGTGACACAATTGGTAAAAAACTTCAATATAAATAAAATTTCATGTGACAGTTGGGACAAACAATAACATAACCAAACTAAATTTGACTTCTTAAACAAGGAAAGAGACAGTCTATTATTGTCTAAAGTGGCCTCTTAAGATGGCACTTCCTGTCTATCAATATGTTTACCCCTTCTACCTTTACATTCCCTCTTTTGTCTTATTGCTCGATGGGTAACTCTAACAGCGTTGTCATTTTACTTATATTTTGCTTGCTTTGATCTCTGTAAATTTTCTCACGAAATTACGTGCCGACGAATGTTTAGGAAAAAATATTTAAAGTTTTATGCAAATATTTTCCACTTTTACAGTTTTATATATGTTGTTATTAAAAAATTTTTTGGTTTCTTACCGGAAGCTTTATTATAAGCAGAAACATATTATTTTTCCTATTGGGACAAAACTGTAAATTCAAAAATTTTCCAAAAATTCCTATGTATTTCTTATAATTATATCTTGATGCTGTAAAAAAATGAACAAAATTATATGTCTGGTTTTCCCGCTTTATACTTGGAAAAAAGTTTTTTTTAAACGAAAACATGAAGTTTGCTTAAAAGTTGTCAAAATACTTCTAGTCATCTCATACGCCTTCTCAAATTTTTTCAAATTTTTTGAATTTGGAATTTATCTTTTGGGGGGTGCAGATCAACCTTAAGGAATATCTTCCTCGTCCAGAAGAATGAGGTTGAGTTACAAAAGACGTATCCGAAAAATCTCTTTCTTCTACAATAGGCTAAATGGATCTAGATATATATATATATTATTGTGATATTTAAAGTCTTGGTGCGCCAAGCAATTAATTAGCTAATTAATTAATTAAAATTATTTAAATGATATGATTATGACTCTATCACACTTTTTAATTCTCTTATCTCAGGGTTAAATTCGTGCTTCAATATCTATGCTATTACATGTGAAAGGTAAGGTCCAAAGAATACCGGAATAATAAAAAACACATATGATATAACACTATATATTGAAATAAAAATAATGAAATAATTCACACTCAAATGTTTTCAATAAACAAAATCTCATATAATGATTCTCAAAATTTTGTTCTACGTAAGTGAACCTTCAAAATTAATGGTACAAACAATATTAGTTGAAATCTCAAAATCCAAATATTATTCTAAATCTCCTAATCAAAATATTTATATCCTTTCTAAATTAAGTGTAAAAATTGTGTTATCAATGAAAGAAAAACTGCAGAAAACAAAACTGTCTCTGATGATAAGTGGTTTAAATCCTTGTTATTTGTAGACTATATTTACTCGTGGCCGCTCCCTAGGTAATCAGCAATCTTACAACAAATTATTGCAAGTATATCGTCCTTAATTATCTCCTTCAAATGCACGAATCGTTCAAATTATGCTAGCTTCTTCTTCTCTCAATAAACTGAATCTCTCGTTGGCCTGAGTGAAAAATGACTCTTGGAATATCTTTTCTTTACGATAAACTGAATCTCTCGTTGGCCTGAACAGTGCCTCTTGGAATATCAGTAGAAAAATATGACTTACAATATTTTACTGGATCAGCTTCTGTCAGATACACTAACTACACGAAAACTAACAAACTTTCACTGCTATTGCTTCCTACCTCTGGGAAACTACCCGAGAACAACGGCCGTTTGCCTTGCACCCTTGGAAACCAACTGATTATCTTTTCTCTCTCCTAAATCTAGCTAAACTTTCATTCCTACATACCTATCCTACCTTTTTCAATCTCCGCCAATCAAAGCTCGTCACAATTCCCCCATTTTTTCATTTCGATAACAAACAACTTTTTACCTATAATTATAAAATTTCCTAAAACTTATTTACAAATAATATTTTTCTACAATTCTTAAAAACTAAGAAAAACCTCTTTCTAAAATCTCTTCTATTGTCTTTAATCACTGCCTTAATGTATTTGGAAAACCCGTTCAATTGTCTTTGGATTTCACTTAAAATTATGCGGGTCACTCAAGTATAGTATAACAAAGGAAATAATTTATGCCTAGCTTACATTTTGTTTAAAACAGGTAATCCAAAAATTTAAAAACTTTCCTTCTTCGAAATGTTTGTTGGTTTTTATCCTACTTATCTGACTTATTTTAATGTTTTTTGAACTTTGAAATATTTTAATCAAACCAATATTTTTCTCGATTTTACATATCATAACAATATATATATATAATATATATATATATATATATATATATTATATATATATATATATATATTTGCAACCTTTTAAGAACATGGTGAATAAAAATGTGCTGCAAATTATTTATGATTAAATAAATATTTGAAGATAGTACTTACCTTTCTTTCTCCAAATACTACGACTGCTTTGTGCCATTGTCGCAAAACAAATGAAATGATTCACGTGCTGTCGGTTTCGTAGTTTCAAAATATTCCAATAGAGTGCCACACAGGGATATGAACTTAATACATTATTTTTAGGAGGCGCTACGAGAATTCAACTTTTATGTTCTACCAATAGTACATTTGCGGTCAGGAGGTTAACAGGTCCATTATTAATCGGAAAATAAATACTGATAGAACGTCATTTCAAAACCAGTGATCTTAAGAGTTACCAAAGAAGATTTTGGATATCTTCAATATAAAACTTCATTCAACAATGACACTTTTCAAATGGTTGACTTAAGACGAAATAAAAGAAGAGATATTATTATTTTACCAGAAACTTTACCACAATGAATATGCAATTGGTTCCTATATCAACAAAAAAATATAGTGGTTTTATTGACTTATTTCTATACTTTTTTTTTACGATTTTTATAAGAATCTGTCTCATTCAAATGAAGAATCCGAGTAACCTAACGATAATACTGAGGCATAATGTTCAAACTGCATGTTAGTTATAACTAAATAAAATAAATAAGGAAATATTGAAAAGCTTTTTATTTAGATATTCCATTTATGCGGACTTAGTATACTTTTATTGTAAATATAACGAGTTTTATAATTTAGAAGTAATATATCCAAAGTCAATTCTTTTATTATCTTTAAACTTGTATTATACTTTCCTAATACTACAGTAAACTATATATAATACTATTTTTAAATATCGACAATAGTTTGCGCTACAATTATTAATTACTTATCGTTTTCCGACGTACGCTTCCCACGTACAGTAAATGTTTTTGAAATTACTCACAGTAATACACTGTTTTAATTAAGTTTTACACTTGCTTTTCTCCAGTATGCACGCTCAAATGTCTTTTCAAATTATATGCTGCAGTAAACTGCTTAAAACAAATTTCACACTTATGAGGTTTTTCTCCAGTGTGAGTTCTCAAATGTTCTTTTGAATGACTTGCATAACTAAAATGTTTTAAACAAGTTTCTCACTTGTAAGGTTTTTTCCAGTGTGTATTCTTAAATGTGTTTTCAATGTACCTGCTTCACTAAATTGCTTAAAACAAATTTCACACTTATAAGGTTTTTCTCCAGTGTGTGTTCTTAAATGTTTTTTCAAAGTACTTAGTTGAGAAAACTGCTTAAAACAAATCTCACACTTATGAGGTTTTTCTCCAGTATGAGATCTCAAATGTTTCTTCAAAACACTTGCAGAAATAAACTGTTTTAAACAAGTTTCACACTTATAAGGTTTTTCTCCAGTGTGAGTTCTCAAATGTTCTTTTAAACCACTTGCATAACCAAACTGTTTTAAACAAGTTTCACACTTATAAGGTTTTTCTCCAGTGTGTATTCTTAAATGTCTTTTCTTAGTACATGCCGAACTAAATTGCTCAAAACAAATTTCACACTTATGAGGTTTTTCTCCAGTGTGCGTTCTTAAATGTGCTTTTAAAGTATCTAATTGAGAAAACTGCTTAAAACAAATCTCACACTTGTGAGGTTTTTCTCCAGTGTGCGTTCTTAAATGTGCTTTTAAAGTATCTAGTTGAGAAAACTGCTTAAAACAAATCTCACACTTATGAGGTTTTTCTCCAGTGTGCGTTCTTAAATGATTTTTCAAAGTATTTAGTTGAGAAAACTGCTTAAAGCAAATCTCACACTTATGAGGTTTTTCTCCAGTGTGCATTCTTAAATGATTTTTCAAAGTATGTAGGTGAGAAAATTGCTTAAAACAATTTTCACACTTGTAAGGTTTTTCTCCAGTGTGAGTTCTCAAATGTCCTTTCAAATTACTTGCATAAGTAAACTGTTTTAAACAAGTTTCACACTTGTAAGGTTTTTCTCCAGTGTGTATTATTAAATGTCTTTTCAAAGTAAATGCTAAACTAAATTGCTCAAAACAAATTTCACACTTATGAGGTTTTTCTCCAGTGTGCGTTCTTAAATGATTTTTCAAAGTATTTAGTTGAGAAAACTGCTTAAAACAAATCTCACACTTGTAAGGTTTTTCTCCAGTATGAGTTCTCAAATGTGTCTTCAATTCACTTGCAGTAGTAAACTGTTTTAAACAAGTTTCACACTTGTAAGGTTTTTCTCCTATATGAGTCCACAAATGTTTTTTTAATTTACTTGAATTAATAAACTGCTTTAAACAAGTTTCACACCTGTAAGGCTTTTCCCCAGTATGTACTCTTAAATGTACATTCAAATTACCTGCTTTACTAAACTGCTTAAAACAAATTTCACAGTTGTGAGACTTTTCTCCAGTGTGCACTTTCAAATGTACTTTCAAATTACCTGATGTTTTAAACTGTTTAAAACAAATTTCACACTTGTGGGGTTTTTCTTCAGTGTGAACTTTCATGTGTTCAGTTAAATTACCTTTTCGAATAAACTGCTTAAAACAAATTTCACACTTGTGAGGTTTTTCTCCGGTGTGAATTCTCAAATGTACTGTCAAAGAACTTGATCTAATAAACTGCTTAAAACAAAATTCACACTTGTAAGGTTTTTCTCCAGTATGCAATCTCAAATGATATTTCAAATTACGTGATGTTGTAAACTGCTTAAAACAAATCTCACACTTGTATGGTTTTACTCCAGTATGTACTCTCATATGCATTTTCAAAAAACATTTGTGAGAAACCTGCTTTAAACAAATTTTACATTTATAAATTCTTTTTCCAGTCACAATTTTCATATTTTTATTTAATATTTTTCCCTCAGTGTGTCGACTCATAACATTTTCTTCATATGATGAATCTTGGATGAGTTTCTCCATAATTTCCATTTTGTTTTCATCTTGGAGATAACCTAAAATACAAACCAAGTAAGTATAATATTTGAGTATAAAGGAAAATTAATGCAATTAATCAAAGATGTTTCACATTTGTTCCTGTTGAAGATAGACCCAAATTAGCTGTCAATTAAGCTTCATAGAAGGAAATATTGTAAAAGTATGTTTTTGTTATATTATTTCATGGATTCTTCAATTTTATGATTTAGATAAAACACTAAGGAATTAATATTTGTTTCTTTTGATATTAATTGCACTTAATTATGAGAAATTTTTTCTGGCAATTAAAATACTAAAAATTAAAAAACCAAAATTGAAAGTAGTTTATAAATGGGGTATAATCCAAGTAGTTCAGTTAAACCTCCAGTCAATGGGAGAACTATAAAATTAATATGTAAAAGCGTTACTCAAGACCAACTGACCAACAGTGGGAGATGTTGAAATATACTACTGTGGAGATGGTATAGAACTCTAGAATTCTATATGGTGGAGAACTATAGATCAATTGAACCTGAGCAAGCTAGTTTTGTAAATTGTTGAAGAATAAAATAGTAATGTTGATCAAAGTATGAAATTAATAAATTCTTAATGGGTATACTCAGTGCAGGAAGTCTAAACAGCAAAGCTGGTCCACTACGAGATGAAGCTGCAATAAAGCTTTTAAAAATAGGCTTAAATTTAGTACAATATAAATTAATTTGAGTATTAAGACAGTGAGAGTTTCCATTTGTTCCTTTGATCTCCAAATCTTCCAATAAATCCAACTTCAAATAGTTTTTCTTTCTACTAATGTCATGTAAAATAGATGAATCAGTATTCTAGTAGATAACTATGATTTATATTGAAACAATTCTTCTTTTCATTTAAACGTGGAATAAATTTACCATTGAAACATGTTAAATGAGGTCACAATTGAACACCTTAGCTGCTGCATACCTTACATCTGCCTCTTTGGGCACCATATTTTACTCAGAGGGAGCGCCTATTTGAAAAGAATACAGAACTGAATAATTTGTTTCTCTTCTTCGTTTTTTATGTTATTATTATATTATTATGAATAATATGTCTAGTAATCTCCAAACTAGTCTATACCACCATTTCTTACAGTGTCTCACTAGTCCTTAAGCTGTTACAAGAATGATACAATTGTCTCATTCTGCTGACTCTAGCTAATTTGATCCATTAAATTTATTTCGATATCTTCTTGTATACCATTTTCCACAGATTGAGGTAGATCTTCTACTTCTAGTGTACGTGGATTTTTGGGTACAGCATTGTTAGAATTATTTAATGCCTCGCCGTAATTCTCAGATTCTTTGTTAGTTTGCAAGCTTAGATCATCCGGTATAATCTAAAGCAAGAAATTATCAACATTTTTTAATAATTTCGCATAACTTAAAGGTATTTTGCTAGTTCATTCTATTATTTTTTACATTTAAAATAAGAAAGGGGTTAGAATATAACAAGAAATAGTAAATTTCTTCCAAATGCCTGACAGTACTTTTACGTCCATAACAAAAAGTAGCATTTATTAGCACACATGTTACAGGTAACAAATTGTAATGCCGCAGTTAGCTTGTGTACTAATATGGTCATTGTTTTCATACTAAAACAATGTTATTGGTTGATTGAAATTAACCAATATTATTCTCCAAAATGTACTTTAAAGTACCTAGAGGAAAAACATGCTTTAGACATATTTTTAAATACTTAAGTGGTACTTTAAAAGTGCCGTTTGGCAACTAAGGGGGTTAAACCATAATACTTTAATTAAATTGTAATCATGTTTTAGAAGCCTGTGTTTCTGTCTTCTGATCTGTAATAGACAGCCCTATTGTCTGTTAATGCCTACTTCCAAGTACCACATTCATTACAAGCATATTAACAACAAAAAACCAATAACATTGTGAAAAAGTAATTCCTATTTATACTATGTACTTCTAAATATGGGAGGACTTAATATTTTGTTACTAACCTTTTTCAGTTTTTTGATTTTCTTCAAATGGGTTAAATTTATTTTCATGTTGTTCTATTTCAGTATTTATGGAACATTTCTTTAAACCTAAAGAATCATATGTGTTATGAGTACTTTGAATATCGGATTCTCCCTGAATTTCACATTTAAAGCCGTCCAAAACAGCATAATCGAAGTCATTATTCTCTATTTCTATTTTATATGTTTCCTCGCTAATTTCTTGTTTTACTTCCATTTGACTACACTTGATTTTATGTATTCCAAATTGGAATTGGAATTTCCAATAATTTATATAGCTTATTCTTTGGATTGGAATGTATAGAGCACAAGTATGTATCTGGCAGTGTTACCAACCAGTGGCTAGGCATGGAAGGATGCACCTCCCTGTCAAAAATTATGCGATTTTGTACAAATATGTTCTGTTGTAACCTTACTGTCATCTGTCACGTCCTGTCAGTTGTCATTGTAAAGGCCGTATGACACTATGCATTTTCTTGTATCATGTCTTATATCGTTTCTGATATAGGAAGTTATTTATGTTTTCTTGTATCTAAGTCTTGAATATAAAATTTTCTTCGATAAAGTAATTTTTATTTGCTAAAGATAATGCTGTGTCACAGAAGAAATAACAATTGTTGGTTGAGTTTACCGAAAGTACAAGCTGATTATAGCCACAAATGTCAAACATAGAACAAAAACTTTCTCTAATAGCAGTGTTGGCATGTTTTTGTAAATGTAGATGCTCTATACTTCAAATATAAAAAGATAAAGCTTTAGAAAAGTACATTTTGTTTATATTATGTTATGAATTCTGAAATTTTTGATTTATATAAAACAACAATGAGTAAATATTTGTTTCTTTGGAGATTTATTGCAGTTAATAATTAGAATTTTTTTTAGCAATTACCCTTTTTGTAAATGTAGATGCTCTATACTTCAAATATAAAAAGATAAAGCTGTAGAAAAGTACATTTTGTTTATATTATGTTATGAATTCTGAAATTTTTGATTTATATAAAACAACAATGAGTAAATATTTGTTTCTTTGGAGATTTATTGCAGTTAATAATTAGAATTTTTTTAGCAATTACCCTTTGATAGATTAGAGGATAGATTTGGCAATCGTCAAATCAGCAGTTGCCAGATTACAAAAAAAATTGCAATTAATCTCAAAAAAGACAAATATCTACTCGCTATTGCTTCATGTAAATTAAAAATTGCAGAATTCATTAAATGGTATAATCAAAATGTACTTTTGAAAGCTTTATCTCTTTATATTTGAAGCATACAACATGCGTTATAAAAACATGCCAACACTGCCAAACCGAAATATTTTTGACATTTGCGGCTATATTCAGCTTGTACTTTCGGTAAACTCAACCCAATTGTTTATTATTTTGTAGCTGTGTAAAATGTCAGCACAAACGTTTTCTTTTAAAACAAACAAGAAGACGAGGACTCTTATTATAAACTGTGGCTTGTCATTGTTTTTTTTTGCTTTGATGGATTGTGCGAAATTATGTGATTTTATGCAGGATGCGAAAATTATGCGCCGGCAACAAAATTATGCGCAAATCGCATAATTATGCGCCGATTGGCAACACTGGTATCTGGTATAGAGCATAGATTAGATAGAGATAGAGAGAGTGGGAGAGTAGGGAGAGTGCCGACAGAGTGCCAACTGTTTTGTTACAGTATCATAGTGCCGATGAAGGCCACAGAAACAGAATAATAAACAATCAGAATACCCACTCTCCATGGAAAATTAAATACGCACATCTCGTTCTCGCAGACGTTCCGCCATGTTTTAGAGGGAACCAGTGCTGTGCCCTTATTCTTGAATTTCAGGGAGTAGAAATTGCAAGAGAAAGTGACGTGAAAGTAGGCGTGGCTCCCTAAAACCGAAAATGCTGTATTCTTCCCAGGAAACATTTCCTTATATCATGGTCCCATTGAAGATAGCTTCAAACGGGTTTGACAGAATGAATTGGTGTTTCGCAGTGTAGAAATTTACGTTACAAATGAAACATACGCAATTAAAAGCAATAAGATATTTAAAAACTAATATTTAACGATTACGAAAAAAAGAAAAAGTAAATAGCTTTAAAACAGTTTTTAACAGTAAATAGTAAAATGTCAGTATAAATAATAAAATTTAAAAGGCACCTGTTGCAATCTGGCAGCTGGTAGTTTGAGGGTTCTGACTCTATTGCCAAATCTATCCGTTAACCTATCAAAGGGCAGTTGCCAAAAAAAATAATTTATTACAACTAATATCAAACGAAACAAATATTACTTCATTAATATTTTATATAAGGTATAAAATTGCAGAATCCATAAAATAATATGATGAAAATGTACCTTTTAAAAGCTTTTTCTCTTTGTATTTGAAGCATATAACATATACATTATAAGAACATGGCAACACTGCCAACGCAATATTTCGTTCTGTGAAACTTAATTGACAGCTAATTTGAGGCTATCTTCAATGGGACCAAATGTCAAAATCGTCCTCATATGTCTGTGTTATGTGTTTCCTTCTAAAACATGGCGCGCGTGCTGAAAAACTTCAAAGGCGGCATTTGAGAGTGGGCATTCTGATTGTTTATTATTCTGTGGTATTGCCATGTCCTTATTATGTATATGTTTATGCCTCAAATATGCTTTGACACAGTACATTTTGGTACTGTACCTTCTTCCCTTTTAGCAACGTTTATTGTTTATTAGAAATACAAATAATAGTGTTTTTATCCTCTTTTTCTAAATGTTTTGGTTTTTAGGATACCATTTGCAAAGGCGTGGACTACAATGTTGCCACTTACACAATTTTATTTCCTGTGGATACTCAAAATTCTTATAAGTTATTGTAAATTAAGGTGGTGATTTTAGTAGAATTTGATACAATCTTTGTTCTTTTGAAAAAGTTGCATAGTATAAAGAATCATTATTTTGCGTTTCGAATTTGTTTTACGGATTTATTATCAGATGTCGCTATTGCGTCCATATCAAAGCCATTTTAGTGTTGCTTCTTAAAAGACAGAAAATATTTATTTTTCACTTTGAGAACGCCTATGAATAACTGTTCTGATGAGACCAATTAGGTCTCATTAATTTGGGAGACCTACATTAATTTGCAACCTTTTAAGAAGACCGTGAATAAAAATGTGCTGTAAATTATTTATGATTAAGTAAATATTTGAAGATAGTACTTACCCTTTTTTCTCTAAACACGTTCACTACGACTGGTTTGTGCCATTGTCGCAAAACAAATGAAATTAAGCAAGTGCTGTCGGTTTCGTAGTTTCAACACAGGGATATGAACTTAATACCCTGTTTTTAGGAGGCGCTACGAGAATTCAAATTTTATGTTCTACCAATAGTACATTTGTGGTCAGGAGGTTAACAGGTCCATTATTAATCGGAAAATAAATACTGATAGAACGTCATTTCAAAACCAGTGATCTTAAGAGTTACCAAAGAAGATTTTGGATATCTTCAATATAAAACTGTAAAAACTCTTACTGAAAATCTACGTAATGTCCAAGAACTGAATAAAAGTAGCTATAACATTGATCAGAAATGGGAAAATATAAACGTAGCAATAATTAAAACAGCAAATAAAAACTTAAAACCAAAGAATAGAAAACATAAAGATTGGATGACTGAAGAAATACGACTATTAATGAATGAAAGAAAATCATTCAAAACAAAAAATCCAATTAAATATAATGAAACTGATCGATTAATAAAAAAGAGAATAAAAGAAGCTAAGGAGAGAATGCTACATGAGCAGTGCCAAGAACTAGAAGTAATTGAGAAAAAATATGACTTTTTTAAAATGCATAAGAGAATTAACAGGAATGAGAAAAACACTTCAAACTAGGCAACTAAGAGATGAAAGTGGTGCACTTATAACAGATATAAACCAAAAAATGCAGAGATGGACACAATATATAGCACAACTTTTTGAAGACAAAGAGAGAACAGAAGCACCAAAAGAATTTACGGATGATACTGGGCCTGACATTATACGAGAAGAAATTGAATATGCAATGAAACAAGCTAAAGGTGGTAAATCTCCCGGGCCTGATGAAGTTCCTATCGAATTACTTAAAATTGTGAATACTGAATCTATTTTGATCTTCTTTTGGATCTATTCAATACTATATATAGAACAGGTATAATACCTAAAGAATGGCTCCAATCAACAATCATACTGCTTCCCAAAAAATCCAATGCAAAGGAGTGCAATGAACATCGAACCATAGCCTTAATGAGTCATGTCTTGAAATTGTTTTTAAAAGTAATTCACAATAGAATACATAAGAAATTAGATGAAGGCATAAGTAATACACAAATGGGATTTTTGGGAAATAATAAGTACTACACGAATGGGAAAGACAGTAAGTGTTCTTTCGCAGAGATGCTTACATATTAATCAGGAAGTATATGCCTGTTTCATTGATTTTGAGAAGGCACTTGACAGAGTGCAGCATAACCGACGTTTTACCTAATTCGAGAAATTTTATTAAATAAAAACATAGACAGTAGAGACATTAGAATTATCTGTAACCTCTATTGGAATCAAACAGCAAAAGTGAAAGTTGAAAACGAACTGACCGAGGATATCCAGATTAGCCGTGGGGTCCGCCAAGGGTGTATTTTATCACCCTTGTTATTCAATTTATACAGTGAAGCCAACTCAGAATTAGCGCTTGCCGAAATCAGTGAGGGCCTTATAATAAACGGTGAGCCACGGAGTAACATAAGATATGCTGACGACACCGTCCTTCTGGCAGGAACACTAGAAGAACTGCAACACCTTGCTGAACAACTAAATATATAGATATTGCAACGATTATGGACTAAAATTCAATTTGAAGAAAACCAAGTTCATGGTATTTACAAAAGCACAAAACATCAGAGTTAAGCTAGTACTAGATAATACAGAAATTGAACAAATATCTTCCTACAAATACCTTGGAGCATGGATCACAGAAGATACTGATCAGACAAAAGAAATAAGATGCCGCATTGAAATTGCGCGGTCAACTTTTAATAGAATGAGAAAACTTTTTTGTAATCGCGATATCAATATATCGCTCCGGATAAGAATACTTAGATGTTATATTTTCTTTACCCTTTTGTATGGAGTTGAAACTTGGACACTTAAAAAATCCAACATTAAAAACCTAGAAACATTCGAAATGTGGTGTTACCGACGTATTTTGAAAATATCATGGATGGATCGCAAAACAAACGAACAAGTTCTCGACCAACTACGAAAACAATGCGAAGTTTTAAATTCCATAAAAATCAGGAAATTGAGGAATATAATATATATACTAAGGAACATAATGCAGGGAAAAATCAAAGGTAGAAGAAG